GAGGGCGAGGGCATTAGGCACCACGGGCACGGGCGCTGGCAATGGGCACCGCATGCGTGGCTGTTATGGCTATGCGTTGGGTGCCTAGCTAGTGGTTGGTGCTAGACACTGGTGGAGTATTAGAAAATAATGGAGAAATGGCAAAATTTAGAACAACCATAACTTTATGCTTGATTGTCCATTTGAGGCAATTTTTATTTTAAATCAGGGTATTTTTTGAGATCTATCAGAATCAAACCACCATAGGCTGTTTAGGCACCGAATTTTCCTAAAAAGTTATTGTTTTTCACTAATTTTGAATTTCAACCACAAATTAATAAAGAAGTAGAATTTTTACATGTCTATTTTTTGTATTCCCCTCTACGTGAGGATTCAGCTCACTTGACTTTGGCAACATCCTCAACGTTCATGTATTTCTGTACTTTTGATAGTAATTCTAGCATGTTCTTTGATGGGTGTTTCAAAACTGAAAATATAATACTAGATGAGGGTAGGCCTTTTGTGAAGGCCGCCATGACGACTTTGTCATCTGGTTCTTCAATCTAAAAGACTTTCTTGTTAAGACAAATGAGGTAGTACCTTAGGCTTTTATCTCGATCTTACTTGATGCTGAGTAGGTGGGTGGTAGGTTTCTGGTGTTGGCGTCCCCCAATGAAATGTGAGACGAAAAACTTAATTCAGTGAAAAAGTCAATGGAAGTCAGGGTTAGCTTGGTGAACCACTGGCTAGTAGATCCTTTGAGGGTGATAGAGAAACCCTACATATGATCTCGTCTGGTATGTTATACAGTTGCATAAGAGATTTGTAGGTGTCAAAGTGGTCTAGTGGATCTTTAGAGCCATCAAAAACTTCCACAGTTGACATCTTCAACTTTGGAGAAAGAGGATGGTTTGCCACATCAGCGACAAAGGGCGTGTCAGTACGTGTCACTAGGTACTCGACTGTTTCAGACCTTTGCACCTTCATGCCATTGAAGACGTCGCCGATTTAGTTTTGCACCTCTTTGATTTTTTCATCCTAGTGGTTGGGAGAATGGTCGTTGTAGTGACTCTTACGGTCCACATGCTAGTTTTCCTCTCGTCTTCTTGAAAATGAGGGTCATCAGCATGGAATGATGGAGCAGACATGCATAGAGGGGGAGCCAGGGGCGCCTTGATGGGGCACCCTAGCACTGCTAGGCACTGGTACCTTGGCGCCTTGGGGGAAGTACCTAGAATGCTTCCTCTCCTGAGTGTTGGGGCAAGACTCTTTGAGGGTGCCCAACAAGCATCAACTAGAGGATCTGCTAGTTTTGATTCACCAATAGCTGCATTATCTCCAGTAGTTGTTGTCTGGTGACGGGATTTGTTGTTAGGGGTGGGACCTCATCACGACGTGGTGGATCATTGTCTTCTCCTTGTTGATTTATGGATCTAGTTGTAATAACCATAAAATAGAAAGAGAATAAGGAAAAAAAAATAGAAAGACAGTACGGCGAAAACTTAGTTGTTTCTCATGAATGGCGTCAAACTGATGATACACAAAATGTGTTTATGCATCATCGCTTGTCAAGTATTAAATATAGTAATAAATAATGAGAATTGACACAAACAAAACACAATTTAAATGGTTCGGTCAAAGTGACCTACTCCACTGTGAAGTGTTAGGATGACCCGAGTATTTTATTTTTCAAGGAGTGTAGAGTGTTTAGATGTAAGTGATATGTGAGAGATGTCCCCTTTGTGTAAGTGAGACTTACAATTTATAGGCGTCTCCTAACAGATTGAGACGCCTTTCTCATGTTAGGTGAGGTAGTTCGGTGGAAGTGATGTCTTTCTCGTAACAAGTGAGACAATTCTGTAGAGGTTGTGACATGTTCATCCAAAAGAGATCTCTTCGCATTATTGTGTTGATCTAACTCTCTTAAGATGATGTGATTGACTTGAATTACCTTCTTCTATCATGTGATGAGTTTAGCTTATATGTTTGAGGTGAGTCTGATCTGTGATTCTAGGCCTAGTTTATATTTCTGGATCTCAAAATTAGGTCTTATCTGTAATTTTGAATTGGACCTTTGAGTTGGGTTAAGTCTTGGCCGGACCTGTCATTATATAATGTGTATGTCTAATATGTACACATACATCAAGAAGGTGACAGGTGTCTTTGCAATGAGCTAAAAACAAAAAGAAAAAAATATAGAGCAAAAAGTGGACAAGGAGGACAAGTGTCGATGGTGAAGTAATACCTATGTCACTAAGCATATGTGAGCAGGTGATGTAAGGTGCTTGGAGCTCAAGACTCTCCCCCCTGTTCACTCTATAAATAGAGCCTTCCAGTCCTGTGAGCAAAACAGGAGAGAAAGAATACATCAAAAAAAAAAAAGAAAAGAAAATAAGAAGAGAGACGGGTAAAAGAAAAGAAAAGAAAGGTGGAAATTCTGTGAAAGTAGGAACTCAATCCTACATAAAAAATTTAGGTAATTACTTGAATTCAGTTAGGTAATTCAATTTGACAAGTAATTACTTGAATTCAGTCTTTGTTAAGTATTTTTGGATTAAATTTAAATATCATAATTTTTTGTTATTCATTAAAAAAAATAAAATTGGGCTTAAATATATCATAATTATTTAGTTTTATAATTATTCTAAAGTACTACAGCACCCGGTATTAATTTGAGATAGAATTAGAGGTAGGATTTTTGTTCTTATTTACTACCACTTATGCATATTTGGGGGTTTCATATCAATTCTACGTTGACTATATAATGTAAAATTTGAGTCTTGCTGATAAATTGTGATTTCTACACGCGATATTATTGTGTTGAAATCCCTCTCAATTTTTGGAACCGATTTGCGTATTAAATGTTTTGAATTCTATTTTCACATAAATAAATTTGGACTCTTTACTTGATATTGGATCATGACTTCTGACGGATCTACCTTGAATGCACACACATAATTAATGGCATAGGGTTAGTAGGTGTGTGATCCTTGTTAAGATTCACAGAATTTCTAGTTTTTGGGTTCACTAGTTAGTAGCATTAGATACCGGTGATACCCTGTATACCACCGTAAAATTCTCGATATTGGTATTTCTAGAAAGCAATAAAGCATCAAATCTCGTAGAGGGAAAGACCCCAAAATTTTTCTCGAGATATTTCATGCGTGAACTGAATATTAATGAATCATTATTATCGACATGTGCTACATTCTTGTGACTTTAAATGTCACCTATTGTTGAACCTATTTATTATTTCTTTATATCTATTGTTTTAGCATCTTGATAGCCATTGAGAAAAATTAGCCAATTAGGGCTACTGAGTTAATCCCTATTTATTTTTTCCAGTAACAAGATTAAAGCCGGAGGAATAAGTTGGGAAGACTGCAGCTAGGAGTTTACCATTATCTGTTCACTATCGGACTATTTTATATTTTGGGAATGTAATTTTTGTCCAGCATATATTCAGTTATAGTCTAATTTATATTAAAAAATTATTATGGGTTGTGAAATGCCAATTATAAAAAAAAATGGGGATGTGACAAAGTTGTATTAGAAGTTAGGAATTAAATTTTATATGGGAATTATACGAAGTGGATTAGCTAAAATGACGATCCGTGATGATTTACTTGAAGCACTATTACGAAACATGTTTGATCCATACCATTACTTTTAGTTTATTTAAATTTTAAATATCTGTAAAACTAATCACTTATTTGATTCAGGTATGACATCATGGGACGATATTTATATGACCCCAACTACTATGGGGCCAAAGAAGTTTGAGACGAATAAGCTCGACAATGAAGCTTATACATTGATACAACGAGAGATTCGTGATGTATCTAACATATGGTCATTTTTGTCTAAAGATGAGCGGCAGAATCTAGTGCGTAATAGATTGGCTTCACAGTTGTTGGTGGTCCGTGGAGCAATAAGCATTGAAAGAAATTCAGGCCTATACAAGACAATATTAAATGAGATGGAGGTACAAAATATCTCGTGGTCACCTGTCGATGCTAATCTCCAACAGCCAGTCGGGTTATTTGGCCCAAATAATAGTAATGGATGGTTTGACCGAGAATCTATCGAGGCGAATATGATACCTGCATTTGTAGGACCTGAAATGGACCACCATGCCCCTTCCCAACTGTGTTGCCTCTGGTTGTCTTGTCCTACACACTTGCTTGTACGCAATGGTGACATATAGACGAGTAAAAGAGAAATGTATATGTGGTTAGCTATGTGAAATAAAAGTTGTATTGACTTTTCTAATGAATGTGGTGGGTAAGTTGTAAAAATGTGGTGGGTAGTATAGTTTGATTAATAACTTGTAAATTTACTCATACTAGCACAAACTATGGGATGTTGTTATTGGATGGACTGAAGTAGACCTCATGGGTGGATCTAATATTAAAAGGGATCAATGAGAGATTCTCTTTTTACTCTAACAGACAGAGAGAGAGAAAGAACCAACTGAAACAAGTACAATGCTATTGAAACCTAATTTAATGACATAATTTATTATAACCTTTGAAATAACAATACTCCCGACACAAACATGGATAAATTTAACTCTGTTAAAGTGATCAAATCACCGCTGAATTTACACGGCCCGATATCGACACAACAGTACTCCCGACACAAACATGGATAAATTTAACTCTGTTAAAGTGATCAAATCACCGCTGAATTTACACGGCCGATATCGACACGAGAAGTACAAAACAACCAAGATGCTAAAATCCATATAATCAAGTGAATAAGTTAGCCCATTTAACATAATTTAAGCATGTGTATCCTCTGCATAACATTGTAGACAAGTGGATTATGTCACACCACCAACCCAACTCCCAGGGGGGTAATTGTTGGAAAAATAAATCCAAATGATAGGAGAAAGAAAGGTGGGACTCTATATTATGTTGCCCATTGCAAATAAAATTTTCCATGCAGGCTCGACTTTATGGAACTAGACAACGAGCAATTTTGAACGAAACTGGCACCATTTTCCTCGTCCATTTCAGCTAGTGATCATCTCTGTACTCCGGATTCTCTTTCAAGATGACAAAACCTTCAAGAATGGGCGAGAGTGGAATATGCCTATGCAAAAAAGGTTAATATTAGCATGCAGTAACTGGTAAAATGTAAACAGCACTTTTGAAAGGCATGAATTTATTTTTTGATGAGCTGTTCAAGAAAGATTTTAGTACTTCTCAGTTGCAAGTTCTGCTCTATCACCAGCAGCCAGGAGAACAGGGGTCGAGTGGGTCTGGAAACCAGTGATGGTCTTTGGTCGACCCGCCTGGCCAACAACATCAACAGCTTGGCCAACCCGGACAGGTACCGATAGAGGTTTCAGATTTTCGTCCACAGTCAACAGCATCCTTGGCTGTAAAATTAGTGGGAGACATAATAAACAATCAGTAAGAAAGCAACGAACAAGGTGTTAAGGTATACAAAAAAATCAGTCTGTTTCAAACTGATAACTAACCTGCATTGCCAAAACAAGGAAGTATAGAACATAATGATATTTCCCCAAGATGATGGCTTTCATGTCAAGACATGCGTGCAGTAAAGTCACAAGTCCCGCCAATGCAGTCCTAAAGGAAAGAAGAAAAAGGCGTGCAAAATATCAGATAAACTAAAGAAAAATAGACATGAAATGAGGAAAAATTTCCCTTTAATTGCAAATAGTCAACATCATCCTCAAGGACAAACTGTTTCGAATTTTATAATACAAAAGGGGCCTACAAGCTGCTGTCAGATAGGTACTTACCTGAAAAACACAATGATGTATACAATTTCTGTAACACACCATCAGAACAATGTTCATTCAAATAGGTAGCCTCAGAACCGAAATTAATACAAAGTATGATTACTAGTTAGAATATTTGCTAATCAGGTCCTCAGTGTAAGAATGTCGGTGCCTATGTCCATTGATATCATAACCAATTTACAAACAACAATGCAGAACCCAACTCTTATGAATTATGATGAGCTGATTCCACACCAAAGAAGTAAGCATCAAGCTTTGGGCACCAATCATCATTCAACAAAGCCACAAATCCTTTTCCCACCATTGAGCTTCATATAGGACCATATTTTCTTTTACATAGGAGATACTAGTTAGGCCCCATCCAAGCTAAAAGGAAATCTTAACCACAAACCATATGTTTCATAAATTACAGGAAAAAAAGTTTGGAAATATGTTTGATACTGCTTAGACATTCCAGGGAAATAAAATTATTCCACTCCGTAGCCAGATCATACATAACATGAAATCACACTATCAACATTTTTAGTTTATATAAGAAACAATACTTCCTACAATAAAACCAAAGTTATCATGTGGAAAGCTCATCAACATATTGTTTTTTTTTTTTTTTTTTAAACTTCATCAACATATAGTTAGAGCACACTAGTTCAAAAATGTGTTGGGGCAAAACCAAAAGGGGATTTCACTTTGATGGTGGCAAAATTCCACTTTCCATTTCTAATGTGAAAGCGTCCAAGGATTAAAATATCGTTTCGGTGTATTGTTTCGGTCACTTAGGAAACGGAAACATTTTGACGTATTTCGGAAACGTTTCGATCCATTTCGGAAATATAATGAAAAAAATAAAAAATTTAAAAATTATTTTTCTAAAACATTGATGAAAATATATCAAAATATCTTGAAATTCTTTGCAACATTCCAAAAACAATTGTGCAAATGCATTGAAATATTATAATACATCTAGAACTGTTATGGAATACCTCGAAATATTAAAATTTCGATTTCATCACTGTTTCGTTTCGGTCTCCTTGAAAACGGAAACGTTTCAAACGTTTCGACCGTTTTGAAACGATATTTTGATCCTTGAAAGCGTTCCCAGTCTGTTCTCTTTCTTAGGAAATGCTAATTAGGCCCATCCAAGCTAAAAAAGAAATACTCAACAACCAACCATATGATTTTTCAAATCGGCGACAAAAGTTTGTAAAGTTCAAAACTTTAGTCAACATTGTTCAGCCACAAAATGAAAATAAAATAATTTTGCTCTTTATCTAGCTCATACATAACAGGAGGTCGCATTATTTACTTTTATACTTGTGTAGACAACGATTCCTACCCTAAAAAATTAGCTATAATGTGGAATAGCTCTATGACACATATTTGTCAGAACAAAAAGCTTCACTTAGATGCTAGTGAAATTCCAAAGAAAGTTTTTGTCGCAAACAAATACTCTATCAACTTGGTTAATCCTAAATATTATAGATTAGATATGACACAGATACGGATACAGGCAAAGCTTAAAAAACATAAGATATAGATACGACCTGAATACGTCTATAATAAAATATATTGTATATTTTACTTTAAACATTACAATTTTTAGTAATTCTTTTAACTAAGCAAAATCAGTAATTTTTACCTTGAAAAATGTATACTATCATCTTATTATGATACATCCATAAATGAACGTGCTCTATTAAACGAATCATAACCAACATTTAACTAGTTTTGCTTGCAAGTATTTGTTTCTAAGATTATACTATAACTAACTCGATTTATATACTCTTTTGATATGTAATAGTAAATAATCCTTAAAAATACAGGTGTCTCAAAGTCACATGAAATTTTGTTGATATTTTACATTGTATGTGAGCTTGAAATGAGAGGGTATAAATTAATATTAAAAATTATACATCTTACTCTATGTGTAGAAGTATCCGTCAATTATCCATAAATTTTATTAATTATTGTATACGAATATCCAATAAGTATTATATCCGATATGAGTACGTCGATTTTGACGAAGTATCCGTGTTTCATGGGTGCCTCCCCAATTGGCCCTAGTCCTCGTGAAACCTAGATAGCACAAACACTTGATTTCAACCGGTGTTGGTGTCGCGAACACAGCTCTAATAGGGACACGATTCGAACATGTGCCGGACACATTAAAATGAGTGTCCATTTTGTTGTTATTATAATTTTCTCCGAGCAAGTGTTGGACATTTTGGGAACACGCAACCAACAACTACTCAACAAATTAGAGGACACATTTTGAGTTTTTTTTTTCTTTTGTAATTTTAAACAAATATGGGTAAAGTTATAAAGAGGTATCATTGCTAATCAACATAAGCCACCGATATAAACATAAATTCGGACACGATTACGAAATATTATATACAAATAGAATACAATTTTCATATGAGTAATTCGATGAAAAATATGGCTGTGAAATTGGGGTTCTTTGAAATTGAATAAAAATTAGGGTTACAAAACGTGATATTTTTTAAAATGAAAATTGTAATAATCACTAATTGTTGGATTATGGATATATATGATCAATGTGTCTTGATATATCTGATATTTCATTTTTTGTTTGATGAATTGTGATGTGAACGGTTAGAATTGAGGAAATGTTGAATTGAATGATTATGATTAAAATATATTTATTTTATCAGATAATCATATGTTTATATATATTCACGTGTCTCCCAATGTGTAGGTGTCCGTGCTTCTTAGCGTGAACCCATGCATGATGCATCTCCCACAGGATTTGCATGTCAAGCAGTTGTAACTCAAAATTATAATGGAGTTCTGCAGATCTAAGTTTTTTTGGCAGAACAAACACTTACGGGGATAGCAAAAACCGTTCCGAATGATATGGAGAAAGAGTCAACAAACCCTTCCCCAAATGTACAAGACCTTGAGCAATTCGAACCTGCAAAAGTGGCAAATGCAAATCATTAAATATCAAGAAGAAACCCAAAGAGAATGATACAAACCAAGACTCAGCATGTGCGTCTGTAAATATGTCAAAAGAAGCTTTACACAGAAGAGAAGGCTGGCTTCTTTGTAGTAATAACTTGAAAGATTGCGAAGCATGCCAGCTATCCTAGCATTGTTGGTTCCTGCACCGATCAAACCTAAGGAGATGACAGCAGCCTGTATCAACCAAACAAATATTTCAGGCTTTTGGGCATAACTACGAAAATGTAGCAACTACCACAACAATGAAATAAATTAAACAAGCTACTATATCACAATACCATTGCTACTTCTGTATCTGTATCATGACTAAGTCTGCTCAATGTGTCCATAACATTGACCTGGTCAAAATAACCAACCAACAATTAATGAGGAAACCATACCAACAGACCGAGAAGGTAGGAATCTCAGCAACTGAAAATTGTTCCTAATCGTCGAAGGGTGCTCAGCCCCGGCAAATAGCACTAGGATGATTACCTTAGGGTTTGATATGCAGATGAGACCAAGAGCCAAAGGAACTGCCCTTCGGATATTCTGCTCCCCATACTGCAAAAGATGCTCTAACGAACGAATCGCCATTTCAAGGCCCAGTTCTTCAGCCATTGCTACCATTGCAATTCCAAGTACAGCAGGTCCCTGGTAGGTTTCACCTTTCTCCAGATGTTGTGCACACTGACCTAGAAAGTGTTGGACCTGTGAAGAATGGACATTTAGCTATTTCATGCATGTAACTGGAATTTACCATCTACAATCGACCATGTTCAAATAAAGACCTTGAGTACGTTCCCAGTTCCAGCATAGGCACAAGAAAGCAGGGTCATATCACAATATTTTCTAATTTTTTCATTGAATGTCTTCGAAACTTCAGCTGTGGCCTCCACACTTTCCTGTTAAACACCAAAAAATGGACCTCAAAATTACTAGACTGATAAAACAAGGAATTGCCAAGTCTACATTGTATGGCGTCTCCTGACCTAATAATGAAATCCATGTGAACGGATCAAGCAAGAAAACTCTAGCAAAAAGGAAAAAAAATACAAGATATCTTTACAAACAAGAATTCCAGAGAATACCAGAAAAACCACCCCTACTGAGTTCAGTTACCTGCTTCCCAAGGTAAAGAAGACCGAGGCCAAGCGGCAAAAGTCGACTGAGGGGATCCCCCAATTCTGACTCACTTCTGTCCATCAATGCAAATATAATTGCCTGGGCGACCTCTTCATTACAGGAACCCACATACACTAATCCCAGTGAGATTGCAGCAAACGCTATCACGTCAAGGGAGGCCTTTGTATCTCCAAGGATAGGAGTCAGTTTACCACGGATCTATAAAACAACATATTGCTCAGCTCCAAACACATCCTTAGAAAGAAATTAAATTATTAAAGCAAACTCAACCAATTAACGCACTTCACTAGCCTAATAGTCAGCGACCAAAAACAAGATAATATTTTGTATGTGAAGAACCTTCTCTGACAATGACAGTATGGTACCACTGAAGACAAAACTCAATTGAACAAAAGGGAAGAAAGATAGTAGAGTCCACCATACACAACGTAATTGCCGTGGCCAACCAAATCATTAGGGGAAAAAGGAAGAAAACTCACCTGCTCATTCTGAGCACCTGCATATGCAAGACCCAGGCCCATTATTGCACCAATTCGGACAGAAGAATCTTCTTTATCAATATAATCAGCAAGGAGTGCCAATGCCTGAAAAACCAAATTTTGTGATATCTCAAGGAACATGCCACCGGTAATATAGATGTTCTATGTACAGAAAAAATACAGCGACACTCACAGGATCACAATCATTCTTGATACCACAATTCACAATCCCCACGCCTAATAAAGCACCCGCAATGACAGGGTTGTCATTGCTGTGGAAATATTTATCAATTTGGGCAAGTCCAGAGTCAACGTCCCAAAGCAGAATCATACCCTACAATTGGGAAAAGCAGTAATAAAGCAATAACAACATAAACATAAAACAGCACCACATACTGTGAAGATTTACAAACCAGACTAGCTGCAGCACTGGTCTTCCCATGTTCTTTATTCTTATAAAGCCAGTTTCCAGAAGAACCACCACTTGAAGCCTCGGATGGGACCGTCATTAACTTATCCTGATACAGAAAAGTAACGAATGTCACAAAAGCACAGCCCTGCAACAGTTAGTGTGCAGATAAAACACAACTTTACCTGTCCAAAGCCAGCATTGACAAAAGCATTGACAAACGTTGCTGCTAGATTCTGTCGGGCTGAATCAACACTTGCTCCCGCACTAGCCCGACCGTCAAGCAAATGTGCCTAACAAATGCAAGCAAATATATTATAAGATCAAATGGTAGTCAAGGAGCCTTAGTAAAGACCGACATAAATGGGCCACATATCTTTTGTCTTCCTCTCTAAAAGGTTTCCCTCTATATATGCCCAACCCCAACCCCCACATTGAATGCATAATATCATGGCCATTCATCCATTGCCAATATGAAAAATTACTAGTGAATCATTCCAACTTCTAGGAAAAAAGGGGCTTAAAAAGAAAAAAAACTAAAAGAACGGACAAGAAAACACGAATGAGCACAGCTGGTGATGCTTTATTACTTTTCTGCAGGTATGCTAAAAAAAAAAAAAAAAGAATGGAGTTCCAAAAATATCCAAAGTAGGGAAAAAAAAATATTTAACAGAAGCCAACGAGATAAGCACAATGGCTTCAAGTTTGTGATTTGAAAAAAATCTATATTATTGGCATCGAACAGGATTGATAAAGAAATCTATTCCAGATCACAGATATCTGAAAACCCAGACCTTATATATATCCTCAGGAGATTTGGGCTCCATGACCTCGATATCACGAGCAAGGGTAAGAAAGCCTTCACTTAGTTTAGTGTTGTTGACAATTTCTTGCAATGTCTCCCTTTCCTCATCATCTGCAACCATTTCATCATCAAGCTCAAAAGTAATGCCCTGCAACAAAGAAATTCAACAATGAATAAAGCATCAATTATACATCAAAATAAGAAGTTATTTTCAAGTCTTGTGAAAAAAGTAAATATTGTGATGTTAGGCCATATAACAATTGATCCCTATTTTATCGAGGGGTCTAATCACTCATCCACAAAAAGGTAAAAAAAGCAATCAAAGAAATTGTGAAATTCAAACTTACATGTCGAGCAAGGATGTAACAAAATTGCTTCTTTCGCAGCAGATCATTACAAGATGTAAAAACCTGCTTTACATACTGCCAAGGGATATATTGAGATATTAGAATGAAATAGTTACAAAGATAGAAGGAAAACCATTTAGCCTTCTATTTCTCTCATCCAAAATGAAAGGATATACATGCTATTGTCTAATTGCTGAAAAGAACAAATTTCTAGTATAAAATTTCTTGGTGTTCTACTGTTCACACATAATACAAAAGAGTATTAATTTTGGAGAGAGAGAGAGGGGGGGGGGGGGGAGGGAGAGTTATCCACAATCATAGTAGAATACAGACCTGCATGTTGTCAAGGAATATTGCAATCTGAAGGGCTCGAGGAAATTCTTCAAACTTCATATAGATCATGTATGCAATATCCAGAACTAACATATCATCTGGTCCAGGAAGGTATCTGAACAATGTAGCAATAAAAAATGAGCATCAAATCAATTTTATTTTGTGCACCACAC